ACAAGACTATTGTTGAAACTCAGTTTACAATATTGAGAAACTGAAAACATCTAAAAGCCCATCCAGAGGGAATTAGACAAATCCATATGGAACATATCAAAATGAATGATGTAGGTCTACATTTATTGACATGGACAACATCCACAATCCATTGTTTAGTTGTATAATCCCATTTTCGTGAAGAAGAGGCAGGAAAAGTTTATGTAGATATATACATAATAGAAACCCTGGAAATATGTGCTTCAGAGCATTGGGTTACCAGGTGGGGTTTGGTGAGCATAGTCTTTCCTGGAAGCAGAAAAGAAAAGGAAAACATTATCTCTAAAATATTTACAAACAGTAATAAAAGCCACTAAAATCAGTCTGCTTTTTTATTACCACTGTGTCCAGTAATTCTAAACAACTTTAGTGATACAGTACTCCTTCATCCTGAAGCAGACCACTGCACTCCTAGTATACCCCACACTTGGTATGCCATTCCATCACGAGGTCATGACCTGAGCTGAAATCAAGAGTAGGAGGCTTAACCCACTGAGTGCCCAGGCACCCCAAGAAGCAGATTTTAGAACAGTAAAGGAACTGGGAGAGGATACGGAACTTTCAGTAGCACATCTCATGCCACATCATTCAGGAACCTACCTATTGCTATCATGAGTAAGACCAGGTCTCTTAGGTTTTCAAGAGATAAATCCTATTAACATAGGATCACAAAAAAATCACTGGCCCTGACCTGAGATCTATATAGTTTTAAACCTACACATAATTTTTGGTTATGTGTCTAGTAGATGGTATCAGGAAAGATGATAGCAGTGATTTATGGATGAGAAAATAGGAACGACATTACCACCATGGACTGAAGTTCTCATTCAACTGTTATCTTCTCAATGAGAGTGAATCAGTCATTCAAAATTGACCTTCCTCAATGTCCAGGTTTTTTTTAGTTTACCTGTCTTTTTTTTCCCATAGATGTTACTACTTCCCAACATCCTATAATCTGGACATATGTATGTATTATTTCTACTGTTTATTCCTCTTTCACTCACATATAGCTCCATTTTGGTTTGTTTCACTAATTTATCATAAGGGTATAGGAGCAATGCTTTGGATAAAATAGGTGCTTAATAATATTGCTGTCTGAATGAATGAATGAATGATACAGATGATATGGAACACACCTGCTGCTCATAGTGGGTCCAAGCTAGATAATGCTCAAGGAGAACACCTCCAGGTGTGACCAGTAAAGAGTCAAGCTCATTATTGTTAAACAATCAGATATTAACCATTGTTATCTAACAATGGTCATTTAATTCTTGTGCTACTGCTTAAGTGTGCCTTTCAGTGTTGTTCATTATAACATGGAGAATTAGTAATAGGAGACTTTACTGCAGCAATTCAGTCATTTTTTCCTGAGAACTGAGGAAAGATTACTGGCTCTTTATGAGAAGTATCTGTTTTATGGATTAGTAAAGTAGAAATTAGTACAATTCCATGTCCACTTCTTTTTGACATTCTAGTTGGTGAAATTTCAAAGAACACGTAATCTAATCAACGTTGTGTTCCACTCTGATAATTTTTCCAGTAACTTGTAGTTTAAAACACACACACACACACACACACACACACACACACATGCATGCCAGAATTGTGGACCTATTTTTTGACAAGTGATCTGCCATGCTCTCGGTGAATGGCTTGGCATCACAAAATTTGAATGGCAAAGCTATGCTGATGTAGGCAAGGAGTTGTATGGGTTCCTGTGGGCTCTGTCTGGACCATCAGATGTCTCCTCATCCAGGTTCACACTGATGAATCATCACAGGGGAGGGAGCTGTAAAGAAGGGTGAAGGAAGCTGCGGGCAAGAGAAAGGAAGAGCAGATGAGGGTGGATTCTGTAGGACCACACAAGCTACTCAGGCATTAATTTATTGTCCCACAACGTAAGGCCACAAAAACTGGCTACGGTGAGGCATGAGCTCAAACCCACAATTTCTCTTTTGAATACCGAAGGCTAAAGAAACTTTTTCTGTGATACTGAGGAATGCTCCTTTATTCTTTAGTAACCTCATTCCTACTATCACAGGAAAAAGGAAAAACATTCCCTTCGCTCATCTCCTAATGGAAGGCAAAAGAAAAGACCCTTTGCTGAGTGCAGGAGGGGTCATGCTTGAGTGCAAGCCAGCTTGCTCTAGTTTTGCTTTTAATCAACTAAGAGAAATAGCTGATGTGTGTTATTACATCCTCTCAAATATATTTTCAGGGCCTGAAATATTACTTATGCCAGAATCTCCTTATCACTGTGATCCCCACAATTTGTCCTTCACTAAATGTGAGGTCCCTCCTTTGAAAAATCCCTAGTCACTGACCTCTCAGTGCTGTGTATTGGGTATCACCATAGTGTCAAAACTAATATTTCACTGAAGCACAGAAACTTCCATGGCTTCAGTATTTCTAACATAGTTATATCTTAGTTATAGACACAATAAAAATACTCAAGAAAAAACATATTTTCTAGAATACTTTAGGAAAATACCCATCTGCTCTACAATTCTTTTCTACCACCCCTCTGAATTTTACCAAGACCAAAGAGGCAGCAAGCTTTTTGAAGCAAAGAAACATTGCCTACCTTGTGTGAGAGTTTATCCAATCTTCTAACTTGAACGTACAGGCTAGAAAAGTTTTTCGGGAACACAAAGCACTTTAATCATTATATTGTTACAGTCTATGTAACAATTAAATAGTAGAATACTTCAGATATTAAACCAGCCACAAAAAACTTCAGTAAGAGACCAAATGAGATGGAGAATCAATGTCTCCTAACTCTCAATTCACATCTAAGAACTGACTACCTTATCTTATTTATGGGACTTATGATGTAGGGGAAATAATGGGAATGACAGCTTCCTTCTTCCACTTTTTTTGGTTATAATGGTCTTACCTATAATAATAATCAATTTATTATGATTTTTTAATGTCTGGAACAGAACCATCAGCCATCCTGTGCAGAATGAATTGTCATTGATCTGAATGAATATGCGTGTGTGTGTGTGTGAAAAACAGAGATATTAAGTCATTGAAGAAGGCTAAAGCAGAAATAGTAAAAGCCAACATCCCCCAGGAGAATAATTTAGATATTTGAGAGTCAAAGACCTTAATGTGGCAGACAAACCCAAGTTTTAAGATGAGGGGGAATCTAGATTTCTCTCTTCAACAGGATTGATTTTTCCCTTCTCAACCCAATGAGGATTAGTCCCATTTTTGACCATACCTTTGATTCAGTTGTCACTTTGACCTCTGTGTGAGATGTGATATAGGAAAAGAAAAATAAATGAGAGTGAACAGACATGAAAGAGAGGGAGGGTCAGAGAGAGCTCTGGCCTTGTTCACTTGTGAGGCAGTAGAGTTATAATACACAGAAATGAACCAAAGTCTGACTCCTGCTTTTCCCTCTTCTCCCTTCAAACACTGCCTATAATTTTGCTTTTGCAGAAGAGAGGCTACTACTTTATATTCTCTTTTAATGGAAACAGGTTCTGAGGTGGAGAAATGCAAGCAGGGTTTAGTTTGTGGATAGGGTTGGAGGTAGAGAGAGGTTGCTCTCTGGAGATAACACCTGTAGGGAGGGGAAGAAAGCAAGATGGGGCAAAGGGAGACACTGACCTGTGGAACTATTGCAAAGGAAGGCCAGTCTACCCTACAGGGGCCTCAGGAGTTGGGATGGCCCTTCAGAGTTGTCCCAAATGGAGTAAAGGGGGACAGGCTTGTGTCTCCTCATCAGTCTGTGACTTGGCTTTAGACCACCGCCAAGAGGACATAATCCTTGAGAAGGCAGCTCCCCATAGCTTAAGGTAATACCCAGGGAGGGAGGCAGCCATATTCCCAAGCCCAGGGGCATGAGTGCCCTGGCCCTGAAGAGGGGATCTGGGCAGAGAACCATGGTATTTATTATGTATTCTCACAAGTAATTGTTTTCATCAGATAGAAAGATAGGCATGACTGCAGAGATAAGATGTCAGAGAATTAAAAGAAAATAAGAGAATTCAAAGTTAGGTAGTAACTTGCCAGAAGAAATTGGAACTTAATGTTTAAACTGCATTTTCTCTGTATCTGTCTTAAAAAATAATTTAGAATTGCCCTATTCACTGCAGTGGCTACTAGCCACATGTGTCTATTGAACACTTGAAAATGTGGCAAGTCCAAATTGAGATGTGCTAAAAATACAAGATACACACCAAATTTTGGAGGCTTGGTAAGAAAAAGATATGAAATATCTTATCAACAATTTTTATATTAGTAACGTATCAGTGTAATATTTTAGCTATATTGAGTTAAGATATGTTATTAAAATTAATCTCACCTGTTTCTTTTAACTTTTTTTTTTTAAGATTTTTATTTATTTATTTGAGAGAGAGAATGAGATAGAGAGAGCATGAGAGGGGGAGGGTCAGAGGGAGAAGCAGACTCCCTGCTGAGCAGGGAGCCTGATGTGGGACTCGATCCCGGGACTCCAGGATCATGACCTGAGCTGAAGGCAGTCACTTAACCAACTGAGCCACCCAGGTGCCCTCTTTTAACGTTTTTAATGTAACCATTGACAAACTTCAAATTAATTTTGTGTTTCACCTATACTTTCATTGCACAGAGCTGGTCTAGACTAATCTTAAAGTCTGACAAAGGGGTCATTATCTCAGGCCACAGCCTAAGACAAAGCATTATTGGAAAGGGCCATAGAATGAGGAGTGCAGAAACCTCCACATTCTCAGAAACTCACTTCCTGGCCTTTCTAGAATGGCCATCCCAAAGCACCTTATTTAGTTCTTAAGAGGCCAAGATAGCACCTGGGGTGTATAACCAGTTTGCCCCCATTGGTAGAGTGAGAATGGATGTAGGAAGTAACCATCCTTCTTGAGAACCAGAGTCTCTGGGAAGTAAAAAAAAAAAAATGCTTGCTTTACTCACAAATTGGGAGATTCTGACTCATTTTAAACCCTTTCCTCAGGACAAGGGAATTGTACCCACCACAGCTCAGTGATCAGTGTGGGTGGATTAGAAATCAACTAGACCCCGGGAGCCAGTTCTTGGGTGCAGTAGAATAGTTCCCCTGTATGCCGGGAATATGACCCGCATGAGGCACTAGGTGACGACCAAGCAGAGGCATGAGTCAGAATGAAAGCAAAAAGAAGGTAACGTAAAGAAATTACTTGTAATTTGTTTCTATCACCAACTGTGCTGTACTTTTGTATTTATTCTGCTTATTGCCATCAATTCCATACCAGCCACGATTTCTCCAGCTCGTGATTTTATTTCAACATCAGCCAGAATCACTCATTGCTTCCACTCTCGCTGCCAATAACCAGGTCCAGATGTTCATCACCTCAGACTCACTGGCTCCAACTTCCTCCCAGTTTTTCTCTCTTCAATATGATTTAGTCCACTAACCCTTTGTAGATCGTCTTTTCTATAATGTGTTGCTCTACTGCTCAAAAAACTAGAACGGCTTCATATTGGTTATCCAGTCAAGCCCAGACTCGGTTTGGCATTCCAACAGACATGCAAAGCACGTTCATTTTTCTTCTTCCTTCTTCCTTATTACCTTCACTTACAATACACTTCCTTCTCTTCTTACCTTTGAAATTACTATGAAATATGAACATCTACTATACCCCAGGCATTATTCAAATTCCTTACTCACTCTAATTCAGAAGCTTTTCTCTGTTGATCCCTGACTTTTCTGAATTCTTTCATACCTATAATTTGCATACCACATGATTACTGCATGCTCATATTTTTTTTTCTGATTATTTTGTGCCTATCATAGTTGAACTTTCAACCAATTGGTTAGTTCCCCAAGGTCAGAGATTACACCTTATACTCCAAATCGGAAAAAGAAATTAATATTTACTGAATGTTCTCTTTGTGTCAGTCACTGTAAAATGTGTTCAACATTTGTTATCTGGAATTCTCTGTAGTCACTTTTCCTTGTGTGTGTGCTTTCCCTTCATTGTTTCCATGTTGCTCTGCCAGACTGCCCTGATGCCAAATACTCCAACTGAAGTACGGAAGTAGATTTACTGGTCCTTTGGGATGATGATGGTGGAATTTCCGCTGGTAATTTCTCCTTGGGCTGTAGCCTCCTGCCTTGCTCCTGGGATTCTCTCTCACATTAACAGTTTCTCCCTTCCTCTCTAGCTCCTTCTAACTGATCCTGTTTTATGCAAAAAACAGTTCAGCTATTTCTTTGATTAATTTGCCAATGGACCTATAAGGAGGTCCCATTTTCAAAAATAAGCACACACATTAGGGGGCTTCTAAAACAAAGATTGTTCTCTTTCTCTGAGAGGTATTATGAGAGTGTTAAGTCATTAAAAAATCTATCATACAGACATTTTCTCATTTAATCCTCTCAACAATCCATTACATGGTCTTTCATGTAAGATAGGATTTTGTGGTTCAGCTCTTGGCATTATAAAACTGATTGTTTGGATTTAGGAAATGAAAGTTTCTAGTTATGAAATATATTCTGTCTTGTTTCTAAGTTATTTGGTTAGAGAATAGGTCAGATGCATTTGAGTCATTTCCTGTGTGAAATACAATGTTTATACATAAGAGTAGCTTGATATTTGAAAATTGTAACTTCTTGTGGACTAACTCTCATATTTCTTTAGATATGATTGCATGAGTGAGTCCAGTCTGGTGGGAGAAACCACAGAGTAATTTGAACAGGTAAAATTTAATATAAACAATTATTAACTACAATGGGATTAGAGTAACAGAAGATTAATAAGTAAAAAGAACTCTAAAGAATACAGAAATAGGGGCGCCTGGGTGTCTTAGTTGGTTAAGCAGCTGCCTTCAGCTCAGGTCACGATCCTGGGGCTCTGGGATGGAGTCCTCCATTGGGCTCTTTGCTCAGCGGGGAGCCTACTTCTCCCTCTCCCTCTGCCTGCCGCTCGCCGCTGCCTGTGGTTGCGGGCTCTTTCTCTCTGTCAAATAAATAAATCAAATCCAAAAAAAAAAAAAAAAAAAAGAATACAGAAATAACAGAGCTATGGAACAGCCACTTCCCTTGTGCCTGAGATAGACAACCCAAGGCTGAGATTCAGATGTTATTGGAAAGAGCAGCCATAGGTAATTGAAAGCAAAGAATTTGCCAGGGTGCCACAGGAACTTGCTGGAAGTCTGTCTTCTGGAGCTTGCTGGAAATGTGCCCTCTGGGTCCCAGGGAGAGCTGTTCATGGGAGTGTTCATGGAGACACTGTACACATAACTGAAGAGATGCAGTGGCTGGCCACTGAGTCCTGCTGGCTGCCATGTAAGCCCCTGGTGCTGGAGAAAGCCACGTGCGCCACAGGAACTGGATGCTGGAGAAGCCACCCACACTTGCAGAAGCTCGCGATGCACCCGCACGAGAACCAGAAAGCAAACCCCTTTCTTTCCGCATTGTTTCTCCAGCACCCTCTACAGGCAAAGTTTCATGTCAATGCCAGCTGGCAAAGCAAAAATACTCGAAGGGCCCAGATGCATGTTTAGGGACCATATAAAAAAGTTGAATTTGGAGATGACAGATAATAAATTGATAACAAAAAAATTACATTCACAAAAAATTCCCCACTTTCCAATGTATACTTCTAAGGTGGAAAACACCCTGTGTGGTTCAGGCATCTATAAAGCCTAGGATAAATGGACAGAGAGAGGAAAAGAAATGAGCAAGTAAAATCATGTTGATTTACATTATAAAAGGAAGAGTTTGAGAGGAAGGGTGGGGGAGATAAAAAAAGAATACAGGATGATTTCAGGAAGATAATTTTGAGGAGTTTTGAAGAGATATTGATATTGGGTTTCTTACAAATACAACCCTGTGCTGAGAGGTCACAGACAGGACCAGCTTTATTTGGGGAAACGTAACATTTTAAAGCTTTTCGAGTCCATCAGACTTTTAAACATTCTGATTTTTTTCTTTAACATATCAAAGAATAAATACAACAAAATGTAGTCTAATATCCTGCACATAAGTATTTACTAAATCATTGGTGTTTTATTTATTGTTTCTAAACCAGCCAGTCCTGATACTGCATGATAATCCTCTTACTTAGTTTCTAATTAGTCATTTTCCATTCATCAAAGCATGTTAAAAATCCTGACTGCTTTCCTTAAGTCCCCATGTCCATCCTGAAATCTAAAGCCCAACTTGGTGGGTAGTCTAGTGATTGATGCCAATAGAAAAACCTCACCAGCCTCCTACTTTTGTGCCTTTCCACTAAACTGTATCTTTTATTCGTATTTATTTTTCCTGTTTCAACAGCAGCAGAAGTATCTATCCTTCTATCCAATTGTCATCCCTTCTTTTGCTCTTGATTTCATGCCCTTTCTTCTTCCTATGCCTTCTGTGGCAACAGTTATGCCCTCCCCTCTCCCTTTGAGTCTTGAATCTCTCCCTGTTTCTTGGCTCTTGCTCCTTAGCCTGTCAACAGGCTTAAAACTTTGGACTCCCTTTCAAAATTTTCTCATCTTTTTCATAATACCCATTTAAAGATCATCTATGCTTATTGCATCCATTTCCTTCCTTACCAAAACTCACTCTTTGTTGAAGACTATCTGCCAGACTTGCTTGGGAGACACTTTCCTTAGCCTAATCGCATAGTGTAGTCAAATTGAGCCCTCATTATAAAGCATATTTTAAACCTTTTTAAAAAAGTACCCTGATCACTGAATATTGTGAACAAAGATGGACGTGGTACCAACTATCCATCCTTCCATCTGTCCCCGACCAAACATTGATTGTCTAAGCATTCTTTTCCTCAGATGGTTACAAGGTAGTGACCTTCCCTGGGCCAGAGAATGACTTGCTGGGCCAGTTGCTGAGAAGAATGTTGGAACAATAAGATTGAGTCTCAAGACATCTTTTCACCAGGATGGATGTGACCAGAGCACAGGCATCTCACACTCTTTCTCCCACCTCTGGTTCCATCTAGAGAAGTCTTGACCTTTTCTCATGACGATTACATCAGAAGCTGGCATCCTTTTTCACTCGTTTATTTCCATCTCAAACCCTTTTAGTGGAGGTGAACCTAGTTTAACTATTTTATAATTATTTGGGTAAATAAAGCTTAGTAATATTTTAAATCAAATGGCATGTTTATCTGTGAGATATTTCAAACTTATTATATACTTTAAGCAAAAATATTTTATTCTAAACAGAGTTAAAATGACTTTTCCTTTTCTAACCATATTTGATGGTAAAATTTTCTTTTATGGATTATCAGGTGTTCTCCTTTTTCTTATCTCTAGGTACTATCCATCCTCCACGCCCCCACCCCCAAGATGGGAAAACTCTTAAAAGGACTTCGAAAAATCTCCTGGACATGCCACAATCCAAGGCAATCTTCTATCTCCCAACCCTGTTGGAAGTAATTCTCTCCTTCCCTTCTCTTATAGCATCGGTCATTGTCTCCCCTGCTGGTATTTATGAACATGGCCTATCTCTGTATAAGTGAATCCTAAAAGCAAGATCCTTATTTTACTCATTATTGAATAAAAGATCCTCACTATTAGGTAAAAAATCCTGTGGGCAAGAGCCTTATTTTAATTATTAGTGCCTAAAATACAGTACCTTATAAATAGTAGGACTTAAAAATATTTATGAATAGAAAAGAAATAATTGGTCATTTATTAGATGTGTGAATATCCCTCAGTTAAATTTGTTTTTCCTTCTTCGTTTTTATTTCTTTGTCTATGTGTTATAGTGTTACTGTCTTTTTAATCTCTTTGCTTCTGTTTCATGTGGCTTCTATTTATTCCCTTTTTACCTTCATTTTATCTTTTTTTTCCTCTCCTGCATGGAACACAGCATTCTACATGGAATGACATGTTTTGGTTTGTTTCTTGCAGTTATTTGAGTTTTGCATTTTGTCCCAAAATAAATGAGTGATAAAAATAAAACATCGAACTAAGTTGTCCACTAAAAAATTCAGGGCCTTAACTGATCTTTCTTCTCCACGAGGTTAGTAGCTTTCAATAGAAAAAACCATATAGTCTAATTAAACACAAGAAACATCATTCTTAGAGAAAGATTTGGGATATGCTTGTCAAATGAGATAAATCCCTTAAAAGTTGCAATTTTGAGCTCAACAGGTTATCACAATTATTAGCATAAATTGTGCAAAGTACAGTCATGAAATTATAAACCTGGGTAAAATGCTAAGAAAAAAAGGAAACATTGGTGTGGTATTGAATTGTTATTAATCTCAGGTGGGCAACCTTGTCCAAGATAACATAACACTATATCAGTTGTTTTGGTCCTTTTAGTACTATACAAATCCTTTCAGCTTGATGAATTATGATCATTTTATGGCCTGTTAAGGATTCAAAATTAAGGAACTAACCATCCAACAGTCCACTCATCCTATGTGTTTATACAATAAAATACAAGCATATTCATAAGAGACAGCAGAAGACAGGGTTTGAGGGAAATACTTAAGTTGAAAAAATGCTCATCTTTGGTTCAGTATTATTTTATATACACAACCAAATTAAACACTTAAATTTCTCTTGTGTCAATATCATGCCCATTTATGAAATTAGTATGTAAAAAAATAATACGCTTCATCAAATATATTCAACTTAAATAGTGGTCCAAACGTATTCTAACAACTGCATGGTTAAACACTACTTCCTACAAAGTCTGTTTCTCTTCCCATGGCCCCATTTAGGATCTGGCCTTTAATTTGGATTTAAAAATTATGAACAAATAGGGCTCACAGCCAATTTCATCTTCAAATGAGATACGGGATGACTAATTTCATGTAAAGAGGAACTTGGTAATACTCTGTGTGGAAAATATCTAAAAATTACAAAAAACATCTGTAATGCTTTCCATCTGTATTTCCTGTTTTATAACCTATGACCTAAGTAAAAGGTTTAAGGATTTAGAAACAAATAAAATCACCATTTGTGTTGGACAAAAATTACTGTTGACATGCTACAGCCCAATCTCTCTCTCTCATTCTTGTTCATTGCTGACCAGTTCAGTACAACAACATTGTCACATTATTCTTGAAGGTAAAGACAGAACCTAATTAAAATTATAACTACATAATTCACCTCTCTTACAGTGTTTTATGCTTTCAACATCTGCTTGTGACATGCCCTCACGGTCCTTTGGAAAACCACTTCTTACTCATTTAGGTGCTGCCTCAATGCTTTACAGGCAAGATGTTTGTATAAACTGTAAACTATTGTATTTTAATTTCATATGGCCTGAAATGATCTCAAACTTTTGGTATAAAACCTTTACAGTCTTCTATCCACAAGGTTGGCCAATGATCCACTTACTGGCTTGGAAATGCCTCTTGTTCTAAAATTTCCTGACACTTCCAGGCTTTTCAAACCTGCCTTGAAACGCATGACTCCAGCCAATATACCTGTCCTGTGAGACCCCTGCAATGCCCTTTAGCAGATACGAGCTACCTTCGAATGTGTAATGTGCTTGCCAGGTATTTAGTTCACAGCTGATATTGCCACAAGTCATTAGACAAGTTCTCCAAATGAAAGCAGCCAGGGAGCCAGAAGCATAGACTAGGGCAATGCCAGAGTTGTAAGGAATCTTTGACACCACTTAATCCAGTTGCTCATTTTCCAGGAGAGGAAACACAGGACCTGTGTGAGATGAGGTTGCCCAAAGTGCGCCAGCCAACTTAAGGTTTTGTGGGGATGAAAACTAGACCTTAGAACTCCAGGTTGATGTCTATATGTCATGAGCATATTCTGTAAATCATCCCCGAATATTCAAAGTATTAAACTGTTCAGTAACGTTCGATCAAAATGCTGCAATTATTACCTGCACCATAGTTTGAGCTTTCAGGTATCATCACATGTTAAGTTTTATACTATTTGAAACGCGTATTTTAAAACTTTGAGGTAGAAGTAACACTTCTTTATTGAAAAAGAAATTACTGGAAAACACAGATGAAAAAACCTGATATTTGTTGACACCTCAAAAACAGTCTACATATGTTACAGTAGTACATTTAGCTATTTTATGCATTTGGTTTCCTGCATAGTTTCCAAAATGTTCTAGAAGACAGCAATACTTTAAATGGAGTCAGCTGGAGTTTTTAAAAAGTATTTTAAGAAAACCACAATCTTCTTTTGTCCTCTTGCATTCCCAAGAGTTCTGATTGGTTAATATCCATCTTTGTTTGGTTCTTATCAACAAAAGTTAACGTTAGACTGAATGTTAACGAATCCATCAAAACCACAGAAGAATTTCCTTTTCACTCCCTCCAACATTTTGTTTCTCCTTAGTCGTAGGAGGTAACACTTTCCATGCAGCGGACCATCCGAATAAGTGTGGGTTAAAATGGTCAGTCGTGGCTCTGTGTCAGTCATGTGGGTCTTCATGCTAAAAGCGGCTACTTGTCTGCTGGGAGAATGTCTTGAAGGCTGGGCCCTGTGTCCATCTCCAAGTGGTCGTACTTAGTTGGGAAACACTGAAAATATCACAGTCACAGAGTGGTCACCCTTCTACCTGGGGTTAGGGACAAGAGGAGGTAGACACTCTCTCTTTATTCTCTAGTAACATCCAGCATCTGCTCCCTGCTAAATCCTGGGTGAGCCCTAGACATCTCCACTGACAGGTAATCTTCCTTGAGCACAGTGTCATGTTCATGGAGGGAAAGCTGGAAAATAAGCCTTGAGTTACCCGATGCTGCTGCTTCATAATACCTCACCTTTGAGGGTGCTTCATATTTTTCAAAGTGGTTTCATATGTACACATATATCATCACTTACTCACAAAAGCTGGACAAGTGGTGGCAGAGGCAGAATTCTAAGATGCAAGATTTCTGCCTGCTGGTGTATATGCCCTCAAAATCCCCTCACTTTGAGTGTGGGCAGAACCTATAAGTATAATGAGATAGTCACTCCTGTGATTCCAGTTAGGATTTTCTTAGCACACAAAAGAGAGATTGTCCTGCTGGTTTTGAAGAAGAAAGCAGCTGTGAGCAGGCCACATGGTGAGGGCAGCCCTCGTTGCTCAGAGTGATCCCCAGTGGACAGCTAGCAAGAAAACTGGAATCCTCATCTTCAGCTACAAGGAGATGACAGCCAACAGCCTGAGAGAGTTTGGAAGTCATTCTTGGCCCAGTGCATCCAGATGAAAGCATCACCTGCTCCACAACTTGATTTCAGCCTTCTGAGACCCTGTGCAGAGGCCCCTGTCCAGGCCTCTGACCTACAGAACATGTGTAATAATAAAGGGCTGTTGTTTTAAGCCACTGAGTTTGTGGTAATTTGTTGTGTAGCAATAGAAAACTAATGAAAGCCAAGGCAAATAATAATACGACCATTTCACCAATAAGGACACTGGTTCAAAAAGATGAACTGATTTGGTTAATTTTATTTTGAAGATTGGTGACAGGACTGATAGCGATACCTTGGATCCTCATTTATACTCCAGCATTCTTTCCACATACCGTAATGCTCCACACTAATTATTATTGGTGAGTATTCTTTATCCCTGCCCACCAACAAGATAGATTCTTGAAAACATATTATCTTCCTCCATGCAGCTCAACAGAGAGTAAAGCAATAATTTTATTAATCCTCACATCAGTTCTGGAGTATAGTAAAAATGTTATATCAGTATCATATTAAATGTTAAGTTGATAATATTTTTAAAGGTTCTCAAATCAAATGTCAATCTTCATCACTACACAAACAATATTGTGAATAGTCAAGATCGGGAAATGTGATAGGTAATTCTACCCACTTTTTGTATTGTTTCTTTGGCATATTATTTTTGAAAACCACTACAAAATTCTTTATTTTGAGACAAGGCAAATCTAAGCCTTTGTGCACCATCATCGTCCCCCAAGCCTGAAAAACAGAAGGGAGTGAGAGGAAAAATTAAATGCACATTCAATTAAGGATTCCTTTTGGCCAAAGTGAAAATAAGCACACAGCAATTTACTCACTTGGCCACATTTTTTGCAGATAATCTCGCCATTTGTTTGATAGTCTACAAATTTCTTTCGTAGTGCTTTGTTTTCTCTCACAATGTAGAGTTCCCTAAAATTATCAAGAAGTAAAAAAAAAAAAATCTCTGAGAATTTGCAATGGACAAATACGCAGCCTATGGGTATATGCTGTTGGATCTGAAGCTCATCTGTAGGCGTGCCCATCCCACATCTTATTCCTTCTCTCCTTTCACCCCTGTGGATCATCAGGCAGATGCCCCCTTTCCACACACACCTCCCAAGGGTCATGTTGCCTTTGGTGGCTTCTTCCAAGTCTGCCTATTATTTTAATGAGACTTAAGTTGTCCAAAACTCTGAGAGCACATATGAGTATACACCAAACTAATGTGCCTTGGATCAAAATGGCTTTGGGTCTTAACACTTCTCCCTCCCTGCCCCCGTGCAGTATTTGAAAAAAAAAAATGACACTTGAAATGGGGATATGATGTGGGGGCTAAAGGAGGGGAAGTTCTGAAAAATGATGAGTCTCATTTGTACTATTTTCAAAGAACATTCACAATACAAGCTACTTCACCTCCTATAAAGAAACTTAAAATTGAGTCTTCCTGGACTTACTTGAATACTGGTGTCATGTTGACGTGGTGCATCTTCTCAATAACGTGGATATCTTCTCCAGAGCAGGCTAGCACACTGCAGTTTTTGCAGAGGAAATTTATTGATGATGGGTTTTCCTTGCAGTACTTTGCAATACTTCTCTTGATTTTCATTTTCTTTTCCATTATACTTTGCATCTGTAATTCCAAAATCTGCATTGAGAAAAAAAACAAACAACGTTTCTTTTTTTCCCCATAGTTTGACTGAAGTAATTCTCCCGGAATTCAGAGATCTTAGATAGTTATGAAAATGTACACTTGGCCATAGTCTAGAAATAAATATAATGAGGTGATCTCCCCCAAAGAATTTAGCATATAATCCTTCCTTATGATAAGAAAATGTGGAACCCTCTGGTGTTCTGAAAACAACCTACCCCGTTTTAGACAAGTTCTATTGTGAGAAAGTCCTTAGCAATATTCCACAAAAAACTCACCCTCTAAACTCTCTACCTTACCATTACTTTTAATTCTGTCTCATAAAACAAGTCTAAACCTTCTTTTACATGGAATATCTTGGAAGAACAAACAGTGCTATTGCATTACCAATCATCTTCTCTTACCTGAGATAAGCTCCCCAGTTTCTTTAAGCTTTTCTCACACATAATTTCTAGACCCTTCACTATCTTAGTCAATCTCCTCTTTACACATCTGTGGCAGAAACTACTGGCTTCCCACCCAGTTTCCATTCTTACTGGGAACAGAACTATAATCGCATCCTGGGTGGGAATATGCTAGCTAAATGACTACATTTCCAAGCCAGTGGTCAGTGAGACATAAGAATAGAATTTCCAGAAAGACTCCTTAAGTATCAGATAGCTGCCATATGCACTTTTTGCCTTTTCCATCTTCTTCTTCCTGCCTGAAATGAGCATGTGACAGTAGAATTTCAAAAAACTATCTTTGACCTGGATAATGAAAACCAAATATTAGGAGGGCAAAGAAGAGAGACAGAGAAGAGTCTTGGCTTCCTCATGACATCATGGAGCTATCATATGGGTCTAGATTGCCCACATTTCTTATGAGAGAATAAGTCCTTAAACCCCTGTATTCCGGGCCCTGTGGTTAGTGGCATAATTTATTTCATAACAGAAACAATGTAGAGACACAAAACTTGAGATAGGCACTGGCCAGTTCTCACACTATACCAATTCACAGTAGGAAAACCTGGTTCTTAAGTAATTTACCTCTAAACTGAACCTCTCTCAGATGGCAAATTTATATTAAATTGTGGAGGAAGTCATTGTTTTCCTGAAGGCTAAGGGGAAGTTTTAGTAAATGCAAACTATCCGTGCTGATGAACAAAGCCGAATAGTCCAACTTTGACTCTCATCTCTGTTTTGGGCTTTGATTCAACATAGCCATATTTAGTACAAAAAAGAAAATTAAACCTTGTGAGCAACCCATGGGCCATACAATAATTTAATCGGACAAGTACAAAGACTGTCATGTAAATGATAACAATTAGGTTGTTCTTGCAAGATATTTATAATTCAGTGAGCTGATAAAAGATGATTTGGCATAGGACCACGTACATGGCGGGCAATCAAGGAACACCTGTAGGTTTGACAGGAAAAATAAAAATAAATCTAAGGTTAGTGTATGGGTATGTATCCAGGACACCAGGAACTAAAGGATTAGTTCCAAAATAGTAAAGAATATGAAACAATTAGAGGGGCAAAAAAATAAAACAAAGCATAAGAAATATATGGGAGGCACAGCTGCAGTGAGTCAAAGTCTAAATAAAATGTAATGATGGGGCGCCTGGGTGGCTCAGATGGTTAAGCGTCTGCCTTCGGCTCAGGTCATGGTCTCAGGGTCCTGGGATCGAGTCCCGCATCGGGCTCCCTGCTCCTTGGGAGCCTGCTTCTCCCTCTGCCTCTCTCTCTCTCTCTCTCTCTCTCTCTCTCTGTCTCTCATGAATAAATAAATAAAATCTTTAAAAAATTTAAAAAAAATTTAAAAAAATGTAATGATGTGGGAAAAGTTGTTGAGTCATTGTTAGGGAAAATGCTTTAAATCTTCACATTGTTTCTAGAAGTTTGATTTAAAGGCTTTCAGTTAGGTACAAATTCTGTATAAGGCATGGAAAACAGACCTCACCTTCTGTGTCAGTGCTCACCATTTATTAGCGGCTGCCTGAAAATTGTGTTGAAAAGGATTCGTAACTCAGAAGAAGGGAGTGCTGGGACCTAGTAGCGATGTCTGCTGTAGAGATGTCTGCCAAGGGAGCCAAACAGAACAGTAGTGGAATGTGCCCCTGCATCATTGCCGTCCCTGCTCTGAGTTTGTCAGCCTGGAGTAGCTTTAGGAAGGCAGGTCTCTTAGCCAAAGGAAACCTAAAAAGGTAGTTGATTCTGGGGCCCCCAAAGAGACTGTATCTTACTGTAGGCATAATCTGGAAAATTTCGACTCATAAACTCTGGAGATGGCCTAGAGTTTACCCAAAACACCTCGTCTTGAAACATCAATCTTTGAAAATATTCACTGGATTAACTTTCCAGTGACATTATTTGGCCACAGATGTTTGATTTGACATTACCAAATGTTTGGTTTGCCTTACATTTAAAGGGGTTTTAAAATATAAGTTTGTGTAGAAACCTGGCCAGGAAACCTTGGAGTTGGTTATAGCAATGCACACCAATTTAAAAGCATCCCTTTCGTGAAACTCTATTTAGGGTAGAGCCAATTCCAATGTTAAGAAACTAACATTCACACCCATATGCAAGGGTGTGAATTTTCTTCTAAATGGATTGTTTGCTATTATAGTAGTTACAGTCTTTAATTCAGTGGTATGGGGGATTTCCTGAAATATTGTAGAAATGCATTCTTCCTTCACTGCATTCCTCCTGCAGCTCAAATGACTACGCTAGTAAATTGAGATGAAGCCGATGACATATTATGTATCTAGCCTCAATGTCGCTCCTTCTAAGAGACTTTCCCCAAATACCCAATCTATACAGTATTCATCTAATGACTTGTTTCATATTGTCTTATTCTAATTCTGTAGCATTTATCCTTGTGGGATGCATTTCTTGCTTCATTTCTGTTTCTTGTTTCTCCTCCTCAAATCTCATTATGTATACTCTATAAGCCTCATGCAGCAGGGATCTGTCTGTGTTATTTGCTACCATGTTCTCTCTTTCTAGAACATGGCCTGGCACACAGTAGGCACTTCATAAAGATTTCTGGAATGAAAAACTTGTGCCTGTACAAACAGATTGAACCAAACCAAAATTACCAGGTTGCCTTGAGTGGGTGAGACATACTAGTCTTTCTGATCAAGGGCAGACTAAATTTATATCATCAAAGTTTATGGTTGGTTTCACTGGAACAGCAGCCTGACAATTTCTGCCCATCACAGATCTTGATTCTTTGTATGTGAATCTGGACTAAGCACAGCTCCTCCCAACTGGAACTTAAAATTCAGCACAATTTCTGTCTTGAGACTTAGCCACTTAGCTATCAATGGCAACCACATGCAGCCACTTTAAAGTGAAAAATAAATTCAAAGGGCCAAAAACAATACCTTACGAGCATACTCCTCTGGGTTCATATTTTGAACATGGTCTATAGCTTTATACATCATTTTCTCTCGGAAATCGTTAACTATCTCACGTTCAATAACTCCTGAGTTACTGTGGGCAACCAGGACGTAGGTGCTCTCATCAGCTCTGGCTCGACCACGGGCCTGAGAATATAAAGAAATCAAGTAAAGGAAGGGTTATGCCTTTCTGTGAACTCTCTCATTTTTGGCCTGGAATGGTATTCATTGCTCAGTGTCCCAGCCCTCAAGTAATTTCTCTATTCTCTGTAAAGTTAGTTATTATCCGTTTTTTGTAAGTCGGTTATTTGAAATTCAAAATGCACTTTAATGAACGATGTTTGAGAGCAATGATGGTTAGGTTACCACCCCAACCCTCAAGACCCTCAGTTACACAAGACCATCCTGTCAACCCTTTTTGTTCCCAGGAACCTGCTCTCAACCCTGAGAACCAGCGTCATTGACTTGGACTGGGGAGGCACTCCTCCAGCCTGGTAGGAGAGATGGATGGCAAGAAGGAGCGTCTCTGACCTTGACACCAGGGCTGGTGAGAAGGCATTCTGCTCCTGGTAGCAACATTGGATTTTGAGAACATTTCCCCATGAAAACATGCTCAACATGGTGATAAATTTCTATAGTCCCCTTTAGAAATTGATCTTTAGGTACATTTTGAGTAACAGAAAAAATGTTGTGACCTGGCCCAGGAACCTAACTACCAACTATAATATGATCTGTATAAAAATGCATTCAGTGTTATTTATAAACTGCTAACAGACTAACTCTTGAAATATAATTACTTCTTAATTTGGTGGTTATCTGGTTATCTTAGTCTTCCATGACTTCCATGCAAGGATGCAATTTAATGCATTTAAAAAAGAGATTTAGGGGCGCCTGGGTGGCTCAATTGGTTAAGCGACTGCCTTCGGCTCAGGTCATGATCCTGGAGTCCCGGGATCGAGTCCCGCATCGGGCTCCCTGCTTGGCGGGGAGTCTGCTTCTCCCTCTGACCCTCCTCCCTCTCATGCTCTCTGTCTCTCATTCTCTCTCTCTCTCTCAAATAAATAAATAAATTCTTTAAAAAAAAAGAGAGATTTAGTTAATATTACAGGAAGAATATTATTTATATTAACCAGCACGGCTCCCATACATACTCAATGAAAGGTAACAATTATATTGTTAAGAAAGTGTGGGTGGGGGGTCGCCTGGGTGGCTCAGTTGTTAAGCGTCTGCCTTCGGCTCAGGTCATGGTCCCAGGGTCCTGGGATCGAGCCCTGCATCGGGCTCCCTGCTCAACGGGAAGCCTACTTCTCCCTCTCCCACTCCCCCTGCTTGTGTTCCCTCTCTCGCTGTGTCTCTCTCTGTCAAATAAATAAAATCTTAAAAAAAAAAAGATACTGTGGGTAAGAGATAAAGTGAAATTAAATGGAAATTAGGACATTTCGTTTTTGTTTTGCATGTATAATTCTGCCTCCCCCAACATATTATTATGAAAAATTCCAAACACCCAGAAAAATCTCAAGAATAGGGAGGAAAATGCAGAAATAGTAGTGCTCCCTAAGGTGTGGGCATATTACTTTGTCAGACATTTTAGGGACACTGCACTTCAAATTCCTGGTCCAGCTAGGAGCTCACAGACATCCTAGGGATGAGGAGGCCTCTTTTGACTCTTACAGATGGGCCACTGTCCTGTTTCTAAAGAGTTTTGGGACACAGAAATAACAACCAAAGAAGGGTTGTTTAGAAATACAACAGTTATCTGTTGTCATATGAATTAAGCGACACCATAAAAGGCAGTAGTATGCAGCTCTTCAAGATTTCTTTTTCTTTTAACTGAGGTATAATTGACATATAACATTGTATTAGTTTCAGGTGTGCAATATAATAATTTGATATTTGTATATGGCGTGAAATGATTTCTCTTTTAGAAGGAGAATAGATATATTTTTAAAACTATTTGTGCTGTTTTGCTAAAAGAGAACAAACTGATACCACAAAATCAAAGATTCACATATTAGAGGTATTAAATGTACCTGGACCATGGCTATTTCATTAGTGACGAGGCCGTAACGAATAACGATATTACATTCTTTAATATCCAGACCTTCTTCAGCCACTGTGGTAGCGATGAGCAGATTTATTTTTCCTGTGCGGAATTTACTAATGACTTCTTTTTGTTCATTCTGTAGAAACAGTTTAATAAATTAAATTTTGTAAAGCTTAAACACATTAAAATCTTCTAATTAGCAGAAGAAATAATAAATTGCAACTGGTCAGTGCAAATCAAAGGATTAGATCATACACGGATCCACTGCCATCTGTTTTTGGCATTGAACAAAGACATGATAGTGAGACAACATTTGATTTCCAATCTGGGATTACCACACAATAACAAAAATATTTCCATCATCCAGTCTGGAAGTGGGAAGACCATTATTTATGCCAAGGAAATAAATTGATGGGTGACTTGGGAGGGAGGAAAAAGGAGATGCTTTCAGTGGAGAGGAGGATAAGGCAATGAGAGACTAGAATGGGCTTTGCTTTTCACTACATTAACTTTAGAATATTTAATATTCAGAAAATAAGATTCAGTGACACTTTTAAAGATCATTGAATTCTGAGTCACAGAGAAAATAACACACTCGATGCCACATCTGGTCACTGTAAGAGTCATTCAAGCAGGAAACCTATGGAATATGTCTGGAAGGACATGTGAGAAACAGAAAACGTTGGCTGCCTCCAGGGAGGGAGCAAGAAGACTGGAGAGCCGTGCCCTGAACCTTATTAATTCGGAAAGAGGTAAATATATTATGTGTTCAAAGAGAAGTTCAATAAAATGAAATAATAAATTATTAAAAACATAATTTTAAAAACTATAATTAAATGAAAAAAAGCTCTGAATTTTGAAACTTAATATAAGTAAAGAAATTAAAGAAGCACTCTGGCCCTTGCATAGGAGGAGTGGGTAAGCATAAACCTAGCCTGATAGGGTCAGGGCGGTTTTGTTCTCAGACTCATCCAAGCTGTTGGTCCAGTCTGGTGCACATTTATGCTATCTTTTACCCCCAAACATTAAACAAAAACATTAAGCATTAGACAAAAATAAACACGTCAGACCAACGGTATGTTCTCCCACCCTCTTTTTCTTCTTAGAGGCAGTGTGTGTCTTTTTTTGACTACTAAATGCTGGACAATTGTGCAGAAAAGCCTCTCTCCAGTCTTCTCTGATAACTTCTCCCTCTCACACTCATGTCCACTAATAAAAGCTTACATGTCTTTGGATTTTAGCAGAAGATGTCTGTGCTATTCAAAAGAGTAACTTAAGGGGCGCCTGGGTGGCTCAGTCAGTTACGCATCTGCCTTCAGCTCAGGTCATGATCCCAGGATCCCAGCTCCCTGCTCAGCGGGGAGCCTGCTTCTCCCTCTCCCTCTGCCCCTCCCCCCCTCGTGCGTGCTTGCTTTTTCTCTCTCTCAAACAAATAAATAAAATCTTTTTAAAAAAGTAACTTTAATAATGAGAATTTCAGACAGGGTTAGACCCTCAAATCACATCAAATAAATGCTGACTCCCTCTCCCAGTGAATAAGTCCAACTCTGTTCATAAGGGGAGGGTGTGGGGCATAAGGAAGGGGTGTGTTCTATATTTTGGCATATAGCCCCCAAATCTGAAACGGCTAAGGAGCAAAAAGTAGCTTGACAACATACTTTCCTTTTGTACGTCACCTCTTTTCAGAAAAGGAGCTGAGGCCACATATAACCAAAGTGAAAATACTAAAGTTAATATAACAGAAACTTAAAAACAGGAGTGGAAGAATACAGATGTACTATTTGTAAGGATTAACATAGAGGCAGTGAGACTGAACTTTAATTTTGCTTGTGAGCTTCCTGAAAGCTAGGGCAAAAAGGAAACTAAGTAAACTAGCTCTCATCACAAAGGAGGAAGTAAGCTCCTTACCCAAGGAAAACAATGCTTTCTTTTTCTGGCATAAATTTTAAAGGCAACTTTAACTGCGTACAGGCAGTTAGTATATTGAGCATTATAGTGTAAAATTTCAAGAACTATTTTTTTTCAGCAAACATTAAAACAGATTTAATTTGCTCCATTGCACTGAATTCTGATGACCATGACAGAATTGAAGTGTCCCCTTGTCCAACAAGACTCAAGGTCAATATGACTTCAGAAGAACAATTTTATTCGAACAAGCCATGCTTGTAATGTCTAACAGTGCCTTTTTTCTCTTCCATGGGTTTTACTGTGCACACGGTAAGTAGTATAATGAAATGAAAACAAAGCAAAAATAATCTTAAAAAGGAAAAGAAAATCACTCATAGTCCCAAATCTCTAACACATGAAATGTCTTCATTTTTCCAAGTTGCCTTACAGATCCCATCCTATGCAAACGTATTCTACATTTTTTCTAATTGTAATGCACATATTTTTGTGGGGGTTTGATTTTTCCACTTGATATTATGTCGCAACCATTTTTCCATTTAGTTACTAAGTTTAAATGTCAATTATTTTTGCAAAGGAAACTCAATTTTGAAAGTTCCTCCAAGTATGTGAAAAAAGTGACTCCCAACAATGCTTAGCTTATCAGACACCACAGATTAGATTGCTACTCAACTCACATTTTATTTTAAGAACAAGCATTCCATAAAATTATTTGTGGAGTGGCAATAGAATTGATGGAAAAAAAAAAAACTACAACTAATTTGGGAACAGTAATAACAGGATAAGGAAAGCAATTTAGAAGGATGTTTTCACCTGTGTCATGGGCTTGAACTCACTGCTGTGTCCAGCTCCAATCAGATGATGGGCTTTGACTCCTACTTCTGCAAATTTTTTATTTTCAGTAATCCACTGAGAAAGGGCATATGCACTCTGTCTTGTTTTTGTGAAAATTATTCCTCGGGCCGATTCCTCAGTCCTTGTATATTGTTCCATTATGGTGTTTCTTAATTTGGTCAGCTTTTCATTTTCATGTTTTGGGTTTTCAGCCAGCTTTTTCAACAGTCTCCTGTTTTCTTTAAGAAAGAATTAGTTTTAATTATAAAACATGTGAATAAATTACACTGGGAGATTTTATGTAATGAGATACCAAGATGTAGTTGAACTACAGTTGATCTTGTGCTATCTAATGATCAGGCTAGCTTAATAAATAAATGTATTGCAATCTTGTTGACAATAAAACCAGATGACCAAATGACTGTGATTATACAATTTATGGCTAATCTGAGCCCATCAATTGGAAAGAGCCCCAATATGAATGGGATTTCTTCTTTCAAAATGAAAGATGATTTTAAGAGGGACTTTTGGAAGCAGCAGGCTCACGCCAAGAGGCAAATGCATGAAGTACGCAATCAACATAACATTGATTCTTACCAAAAAATAAATCCATGAGAAATCTATCTGTCCTATCCAGGCTCAAAGGTTTCTTTTCATCATCTTCATCTTCATCACCATCACCATCACCATCCTCACCACTCTCATCACTATCATCTTCTTGGACCGCATACTTCTTCTCTTTCTCATCATTATAGAAAGCTTCAAGGTGATTATATGCATCAATTGTTCGAATTGTATCATTAATTTGTAGGGCCTCATTGTACTTCCTCAAATGCTCTGCACAAACACGTTCTTTGCGATTTCCTTCTCGTGCAGCTATGAAAGAATATGTTACGTACAGTGAAATCATGGTGGAACACACCCCTTAAAATTGTGCTGTGGACTTGAATATGTCTATGATACTGACTCCAAAATCGGCTTCACGTTGTTTTTGAGATGGGCAAGGTAAGGATCAAAATGTGCCTTGAGCTCTAAAAGTTTTCCAAACCCTAGACTGGCTACCTGAGCTCTGGATCAGCAAGAACACAGACCTGATTCATGCCGACTCAGAGGAATGGCATGAAAAACATTTCAGTTGAGTTTGCACTTGGAGACAGAAACATAATATTTATCTTAATATGTTAAACATACAATAAGTGAAAGACTCTGGAAATAAAGAGAAAAATGGATGGATTGGTGCTTCTTTCCTTAGGTAAGGGATTAGAACATGTTCATCCTTATACTACTTCGAACACAGGAATTCCATTTGATATTCTATTTGCTTTCAGTTTGGTTGAGAATATATGACATATCATCTGAAATCTTGGCATAAACATGGAAAAAACTAAATGTTGGGTCAAAACCCAAATTACCTTTTTTTTCCGTTTGAGTGGTCCATTGTTCATAGGGTTGAGTTCCAAAATCTGACATTGGACTCATTTGGCAAAAACTTTGAATCTTGTTCATTATTTCTAAAAGTTTATCTTTAAATGGATCCTAAAAATAAATTATACACTTATTCTTACATGCTTGTATTGTTAAAGAAATAACATTATCTTTGTTAAAAATAACTTCCAAAGTAACAAGTTAATCTCTGACCACCTCTTTGTACATTTATTTTTTATCAGTAATCCACCCTTAAGCCACACACACACCAACACCATGTACCGCTGCTGGAATTTCCATTTTAAAAGTTTTACAAAAATAAAATTAATGGATAATATGCACCTTGAATGCTAATTGTAATTTAAAAATATATGTATTGGGGCGCCCAGGTGGCTCATTCGTTAAGCTTCTGCCTTCGGCTCAGGTCGTGATCCCAGGATCCTGGGATCAAGCCCTGCATCGGGCTCCATGCTTGGCGGGAAGCCTGCTTCTCCCTCTCCCACTCCCCCTGCTTGTGTTCCTGCTCTCCTTGTCTCTCTCTCTGTCAAATGAATAAATAAAATCTTTAAAAATAATAATAAATAAAATATATGTATTAAAGCAATGCCCCCATTATTTAGAAAGCCTGTAATGTAATTTAAGAAACATTCCCTTTTGAAGAACTGGTTTCAGTATTATTTCTACCAAAATAAAAAGTTAAAAGTTAGACTTGTAATGAGCACCAGGTGATGTATGGAAGTGTTGAATCACTATATTGTACACCTGTAACTAATATAACACTGTATGTTAAAACACACACACACACTGTATGTTAACTAACTGGAACTTAAAAAAAAAAGTTAAGAGATAGAGTTTAAAAAAAAAAACAAAAACCCAGACACATAAGAGTGCATACTATATGATTTCATTTATATAAAGTCCAAAGTCAGTTAAAACCCACTTTTGGTATTAGAAGTCAGGATAGTAGTTATCCTTGGGGGATGAGTAACTGGAAGGAAGAATAGGGGTTTTTGGGGAGCTGAAAATATTCTGTGTCTTAATCTGGATTTTGATTATACAGGTGTGTTCATTTTATAACAATTCAGCAATCTGTACACCTATGAAGTTGCACTTTTCTGCATGTCTGTTATACTTCAATAAAAAGTATATCAAAATTAAGTAAGTTAAAAAGTAACATGGCAACTTCTTTTAAAAATATATCCTGAGGATTTTTGTGGGGTTTTTAAAAATGATTATGAGTAGAAATATGCATTTAAAGTTATTAAGTATAACTGAATAAGGAACAAGAAGTGAATGAAAATAAAGTATATTCAAATGTTCTGGTTCAGCTGGAATAGATAGTAGTCATCTTCAGAATTTCCAAAAAATTGATCTATGGAGATTGGTCAGTAACATTGGGTTAGTACCTACTACATTTCAAATATAATATTGCCTATTATACATATTTCATGTTATTTAATCCTAATATCCTATGAGGTAGATTTTCAATGATTATAATTATTAGCAAGTACATAGAGCTAAAATTTATCATGCTTTTTATATTTTACAAAAGAAAGTATTGACATAATATACTGGTCATAATGTCCAAACTAACATAGTTGGTTTTTATAATCAGTGAAAATACTCATTGCAAAAGCATCATTAAAGTAAATATTTTACTTCTTTACCATGTCAGTGTTCTCTTAAGAAAGTAAATATGCAAATTAAGTAAGATTTCCATTATCATTACCAACTGTAATCTGGTAGCAACAAAATGGCTCTGCAAAATGTCAGAAAACCAGTGCTGAAATTCACCAAGAAAGTAAAAAGAATAAAATGAATTACAGTAATCACTCTAGTTTAGCTATACAACCTCTCTACCCTCACCTCCATGCTCACATGTAGTCAAGCTACTCTTCATATAAACTGGAAAACTAAAAGAAGGCTGGAAGAGAGAATTCACAGCAGTGCTTTGTTGTCCAACAATTAAAAAAAAGAATAAACCTGCAACTTATTTTGCTAAAAATTTAAGATAATATTCTTCAGATGGTTGGTATAAAATAATCTTTGCATCTTTCAGTTGAGTATGGTATTATAATGAATTGTTGAACATTACATCAAAAATTAATGATGTACTGTATGTTGGATAAATGAACATAATGAAAAAAAACAAAAGAACAAAAAAATCTAATAAATATCAATTTTTTTTTTAAGATTTTATTTATTTATTTGAGAGAGAGAGAGAGAATGAGAGAGAGAACATGAGAGGGGGCAGGGTCAGAGGGAGAAGCAGACTCCCTGCAGAGCAGGGAGCCCGATGTGGGGCTCGATCCTGGGACTCCAGGATCGTGACCTGAGCCGAAGGCAGTCATTTAACCAACTGAGCCACCCAGGCGCCCCGTAATAAATATAAAATTTTAAGCACATACTTCTCTGGTGTCATCTGCAATTGCAAACTTTTTGCATGGCTCTTTTATTTGGTCTTTGAGTTGATCAATATTTTCTTTCACAGTTTTAATGGTACATGCATCGAGATTGGCACATATCTGGAAAAGAGATTTTTTTCAGTATTCAAATATTTACTTTTCCTTTTCAACTGATTCAATGTAGAATTATTTTTCATCTAACAAATAAGGACCATGACTAACTAAATATAGCATTTTAGTATTGCTCTATTGTGGATCTGATTAACCAATACGTTTATCTCTATGGACTAAAAAGAAGCTTCTAAATCTTGTTGGTGGATAATTCCAGAAAAAGAAGTGTATTTATTTTCATTCCTTAAATTCCATTTGCCGGCTGGAAAAACTGACATGGAAACAATGCAGCAAATTACAGAGATCGGCAGAGAATGGTAATGAGATAACCCTATCACATAAGAGATTTTAAAGGTCATCTTGACATCCCTGGATTAGATTACCACCCTCCTCTACACATAACGAGGACAATGTAAAGCTAGGAGCAGCCAAAGCCTGGATGTGCCTGGATCTAGACTGGTATTAGTCCTTAATCCCATAACAAATTATATCTTGGAACAAATAATTGTGCCTCTCTCTGTTCTACATGATTTTTACTGAATTCAACTTAAAAGTAAGGGACTTAAAATATAAATTTTACTCTGAATTCACTGAACAATTGAAATCAACAATAGTACTTTATGTGGTGTTACCACTTGGGGTCAGCTGACAAGTAGTACAACCGCAACTAAAGATTCTTGTATCTCCATTTTCTCATTTAATTTGAATTACCCAGAATCTGAGAATCACACAGAACAAAAAAGGCACAGAAAAAAATATGCAATTTTGAAACTCATGGAGTATTATGAAAATTAGAAATTTTCATAGTTTGTGCATATTTCTATATCAAATGGATCATCAGGTTTAACAACAGGAGTAGATATTTAAAATAAGGTATTTCATTTGTCCCAATTTTTCATTGATTCTATCCGTACTCCATAATTTTTGTGATATTTTTCTGTACCATAGTAATTTATTAGGGCATGTTACTGTTTTGTAGAAGATTGAATATGTTTAACTAAAACATATTGATTTCACTTAACTGATGATCATAGAATACCTTCTTTTATGCACTCCATGGCACTTGGACCTAATCTTACTCAAGAAGCCCAAGAAGCTCTGGCATTTGCTTTTAGGGTTTTTTGTTGTTGTTGCTATTGTGTTTTACATAAAGTTAATGGCTTACTTTTAAAATGTGTTCCTTGGCTTCAGCTTGCCTTTTGGCTCCTCCAACACCTGGTGAAGCTGTTAGTCCTAGTATCTGAGGTAGAGGAATCACTGGTTTGCATTCTTTCTTGAGTTTATTGTTTTTCAACTTCTGTTTCAAGTAACGCCTCATGATGTTATTATAGACTGCTTCTTTGTTGGTGTGATGGCATTCATCAATGACGATGAGGGAAAAGTCTTAAAAGAAAATCCAAGTGGTTCATTTGTCCATACCAGCAAGGTAGAGTGAAAAAAAGTACCTTAAAGGTAGTAAACTGCGCTGTGACGGGGATATCTTTTCTTGAGCAGAATCCTGGCACAGACCTCTCACTTTTTAAGAGGGCAATGGGACTATGTTAGTCATCTGTACATCCAGAGGTCCAGGTATATTAATTATGAAACTATTATTGTTAGTTATTATCCTTACTTAAGAGATTAATTTCAGAAAGTTTATAAAGGTAAAAAGTGTTACAGGATGGAATTCAATCCCTGCCTTATTCCCCACAATTAATCAGGATTACATTTTTGTTCTTTAATAAAACAATTTAATTTTAAGTTGATGAGGGTTTATTTTTATGTCAAATAAGAACCATACCATTTAAACAGAGATCATTTTGCCTTGTTTTAACACTGCATTTAATTATTACAATTATTATAATGATTATTTATACTTCTTTCCCTTTCTCTCACTTTCTCTTCCCTTCCCCTACAAAATAGAAAGGATTATATTTCATTCTATGGAAAAGATGGCATATCTAACAGTAGCCATTAGCATATGAAAATATCCTGTTGGTACCTAGAAATTAAAAGTAAATGGAAAGTCCAGTGAGTGCTTGATTTAATACCATATTCTTATGTAAATAAAGTGATCTAATTAAAAATGTATCATAATTTTTGTGTTTCCCCAAGAAAGTAGAAGAGTTTTAATGAAAACTTAAGCAATGGAAGACAATCTAATCAGAGATAATCTTTTTATTTTTATTTTTATTTTCTTTAAGTAGGCTCCACACACAGCGTGGAGTCCAACACGGGGCTTGAACTCACGACCCTGAGACCAAGACCTGAGCTGAGATCAAGAGTCAGACACTTAACTGACTGAGCCACCCAAGCGCCCCTAAATCAGAGATAATCTTTTTAAATCAGCATTTTAAAGATATATAACTAATACAGCCTCTGTGCTATCATCAATATCACTAATTCTTCTTTTTCCAAAAATAAACACTTCGACCAACCTGAAAACTGGACACCATCATCTTCTCCTTTTTCTGAATTTAAAAGGGAGTTTTCAAGGATTTGAGCTGTACTGATGATAACATCATAGGTTTTGACAACTTCTGGAAATGATATTTTTAATTGGGTATCTCCACTTAATCCAATTGTATGATACCATTTCTTCAAAAATGGTTCAAACTCTTTGCGGAAGAGCTGTTCAACCAGTGGCACCTTTAAAAATGACAAAATTAAAAAGAGAGAGAGAGCATGGTCAAAGAAAAAGGAGTATTGATCAAAGGCCTACTACGTGGCAAGCATTATCAGAGGTGTTTACATTATCAGTTAATTAAGCATAACAACCTATCCATCATTACATTCATTAATTTGTCAATAAGCATTTACTGAATGCCTGTTAGGTGTAGACATTGTATCTGAGACATAAACATGTTTAAGATATGGGTGACAACTTTGAGGAACTCAGTCTAGTTGAGCACATAGACTAAGACTAAGCAACAAAAAACCACAAATTAGTAAAACACAGTGTAATAATTCTCCCATAGAAATATATACAAAGTGACAGCAAAAAGGCAGAAGTAACTGAGTACTCAAAAGAAGGGTTGAGAAAGAATTTTAATTTGTAAATCATGAGTCAATGACAAGACAAATTAAAACCAAGGCTGGATAAGAAATAAATTCTGAATTCACAGATCAGGGCCAGGCTATAAAGGGCTGTGAATAACATGCAGAATATTTTAAATTTAGTATAATAGTTATAGGACCCTTGTGAGTTGTTGATTTATTCCTGATGTTTGTTTTGGGATGGGGCCAGAGGCAACATGCCTAAAAAACTGAAAGGAGCAGAGAACCAAAAGTGAGGAGGTAAGACACTGCATAGGAGAGCAGATGTGAGATGAAGGGGTAGACCACTAAAATAGCTTTGGTGGCTGAGAAAGAACAAAAGAGCAAACAGATTGGCAAAGTAAGTGGAAATCTTTCAGAGGTGACTGGCATTACCGAAGGGAGTAGTTGGCATTGAGGTTACTTGATGTAATTGGCAAGTCACAGTATCTTTGCATTCACTAGCAAGTCAAAATGCAGGTCTTCATGAAGACCCTGACCTGTAAGACCATCACCCTCGAGGTGGAACCCAGTGATACCATGAAGAATGTGAAGGCCAAGACCCAGGATAAAGAAGGCATCCCCTGTGGCCGGCTAGCAGAGGCTCATCTTTGCAGGCAAGCAGCTGGAAGATGGCCACATTCTTTCTGACTACAACATCCGGAAAGTGTCAACCCTGTACTTGGTTCTCTGTCTGAAGGGTGGCTATTAATTCTTCAGTGTTGCATTTATACTCCCCAGTGATGGCATTACCCTGCATTATGGCCATTTGTCCCAATTTAAGTTTAAAAATTAAATTACCTTATTTCGCTCAGCATAAAAAAAAATTAAATTACTACTTTCAGTTATAGCTGAACCTGTTGAAAATTTTAATAAAGGTTTTGTTGCATGGTAGCAAAAAAAAGTCCTTTCAGCTGGCTCTCTGTATGTCACAGTGCCTGCTGAAGGTGGTTCAGTTGACCCCTCAATGCTACACATTACCAGTCATTTTGAATACCTCCTAGATTAGGGAAAGGAATGACCAGGCCATCTTGAATGTTATATCCTCAGAGAATTTTTCCCACGGGAGCCTACGGATGTATAGTGTGGCAAACAGAGAGTTGGCAGGAGGAGTTTCAAGGGCCAGCATCAAAGAGTAAGCATTATACTCCTCATAATATAATTACCAGATAATGTGATCAATGCTTATCTTTCCACTGGTCTGCAGAACATGTGTTATTCATCTTTTTACTAGAGGTGAGCCCCACTTATGTGTACAATGAGGGCTGGCTGACACCCCTGGCTGAAAATAGTGTACAAAGAACAATGCTTTGTATCATTGTTCAGTATAAATAATGAAGTTATTTAAGAGTGAATGTGGAAAAGAAAGGGGTAAAGTGGAATCTATGAATTTCAACGAAACAGTGCAGACCCAAAATCAATAACCAAGTTTGGTAAGTGGGAGAAAATAATACAAGGTGAGAAAAATAAGAAGAGAAACTTTCCATTAGTGTTTTTGTTTTTTGTTTTATTCTGGTTTTGTTTGTTTTTTGTCAAAGTCAAGTTTCTGGTCCATCTGCCACACAATCACTTGAGAGATTTGGAAAATGCAGACTCCTGGGCCCCACCAAAGGGTCACTGAACCTAGGGACCGTCTTCGGGGACACAATTCTGTGTGCATAACCTGCACTTAACATGAAACCTCTCATGTGACAGTAAGTCTTTAGAATGTGAGAACCGCAGCTCTTCTCTCTCTTACACAAAGTCATTTCTGACATATTTTTCTAGAACTATTCTTTTCATTCTACTTACACGAGACAGAGGAAATAATCTGAGGAAGAAGTAAGAAAGACTCTGAAGTAGAGAATGAAAATTAAGCTTAGTGGGAAGAGATAGCAAGATCCAGGGGAGAGAAAGTCAGCCCTGAAAACGACTCCAGCCACTTACTTATTATGTGACCTTGGACAAGTTACTGAATCATTTCAATCATTTCAATTTCTACATCAATAAAATGAAGATAATGTTAACCTATGGTAGCACTGTTGTGAAAATTAAATGAAATAGAGGCTGTCATTTTTCTGGTCCTCAGAAAACTTCCCTGATATTTTGCTGATCCTTTTATTCCAGCAGTATAGTGAAAAAAGAAGGCCAGTTAGCTTCAGAAGATAAGGGTTCAAGTTTCAGCTCTGCTGCTTATTGGCAGGATGAGCTCTGACAGACCAATTAAAGCCTCAGAGCCCCAGTTTTCTGATGGGTAAAATGAGGATAATTACGGTTACCTCATAAAGTGCCTGTGTGGATTTAATGAGATACAATAAAAATAATTAATATTGTATAATAAAGTGCAATGCAATATTATCATATTATTAATAAACATCTCTCATTTCTTAGAGTGTAGATTCCTGAGAATAGGATCTGCCTTTGATTTGTCTTTAAATCCCCTCATGCTGCTGAATGATTTAAGAATCTCTATACCATGGAGTGACACAGCAATCTGGGGTTCTGCCCATAAAGGATGAGTCAAGACCTTCCAAAGAAGCAGTATCTTCTGGTCTACAGAGCAAAAATAAGTTTCCACAGGAGGTAGCAGGTGTTGGAAATCCTGATACTCACTCTGGGTGGCGTTGACTTCCTACTGAAGGACACAGAGAAAGCCAGATGCAAGTCTGACATGGCTAATTGGGAGGTGTGTGGTCCTCTTGGAGCCTTTTCCTGAGATGTGACAGAGTGCCTGCCAAGACTAATCAAACCCAACTGCTACCCACTTCTGCTGAATCATATGGGGCTGCATTATAGCATCTGAAGGAACCTGGAATTTATCTCTCGTGATGTTGAAGCCCTAGATAGGAAATAGAAAGTCTGGGAACCCAGGTGGTGTTTTCATTTCTCCCTGCATTTGAAGGCGATAACTTTGGGAAGCACGGAGGCAGGGAGATGAAAGTAAACGATGTTAGAGGGGACAGGATTTCTCTTTTCGAGATCAAGGGTTACAATACCATCTATTAGGCTAAATATAGAACTAAGGTTATGTGACAGACAGGGCCAGACTCAAATGAAGAGAACTGAAGCTCAAGTTACTTTAAAATTGAAAGAAATGGGATGATAAAGTAAACAATTATGACATATATGGAAGAACTAGTGGAGAGGTTTCTAGTAATTCCTAGGGAAAAACAATAGAGAAGCAGATGATGAATTAGACTTATGTCCTTAAGTGTCTACACAACAGTGCAGTGAATATGAATAATTAGTGAGGATAATTTAACATTTAAACATGGTTGCAAATGTGGATTTGTAAGAATTACCTAGATCCAATGAGATGAAAGATCTGTGATGGGCATACAGCACTGAAAGAAGGAGTCATTATAAGAACAAGTTGCATTAGATGCATACAAAAACCTGAGACCTGCAATGATCAATCAACATGCGTAAGATGAAGAAATGAACGTTTGCATTTGGAAATTAACTGCACAAAGATAACTTAAAAGAATTTTAGTTTAGCAGATTTTCAGACAAAGAAGAAGCTGAGGCTTTTAGTTTATGGCAAACTCCAGGTGAGTCCTTGGGTGCCGGCACCAGTAGAAAAGGCAAACCTGGTCATGGGCTTAGAGTCACATCTCCTCTCTCTTCCAGTCTGCACCAATAAGACTGTATCTATAGTATTTTACCCAACTCTGGATGCTATATTTGAAAAAGGTCCTAAATAAATGTCTCAAAAACTATGGGCACTCAGGATGATGAAAAATCTGGAAACCATGTTATATGAAAAATAGTTGAAGGAACTGGGAATATTTATCCCAGGGAACAAAAAGAAAAATGACTTAGGAGCCACATTGCTGCCTTCTCTATGTGAAGGGCAGTCGTGAGGCAGGAGAATTAATTCTTACTCTGTATAATCACACTGGAAAGAACTCTAACCAAATGTGGATTTCTGAGAAACAGATTTCGGTAGGGCTTTCCATCAGTGCCAGTCATTCAAAGAATGGATCAAGCTATCTTATTAAAAGCAGAACTTCCTGGATATCCCAGCCTATTCTACTCAGCAGAGGCGAGAGATGAAATGAGAACTGGATGAGAGCTGGATCTTGAAGTCCTCTTTTAGCTCTAAGAGTTTATGACCCTGGGGCCTGATAAAAGAAGGGAAGGAAATAGATGAATTAAAAATATCTCCTAGGTGTTGAGGCTTCATGCTTTGGAGGAGGGGGTGTAACTAACAAAGAGACAGTTAAGGAGGGAAAGAGAGCCTTTAAGGAGGGAGATGGTGAAGGCTCAGTTTGAGGAAACTGCAGAATACTCAAATGGTCTCAAGAACTCCAGCTGAAGTATCTTCAAATCCCGTTAACTTTGTTCTTTTCTGTAAACCTGGCACTTAAGACCCTGTTCACTGGTTAAAGGGTTCCACTTAATTAGTTATGGAGGTGAGGAAGAGGGAGTGCGAGAAAGAACTAAAACTTACTGAGTCATTCCCAGGCTTGAGATAGGTTATTTAATTTAAATTTCAGAGCAACTATATAGGGTGGTATTATTTTGTTCATTTTACAGATGAGGGAACTAAAGCAAGAAGTTAGGATTTTGTCCAACGTCAAACTACTGCTGGGTAGAAGGTGTATTCAAAGCTAGACTCCCTTTATTCCAAAAGATAATGTCCTTTATAAAGAGAATACGTGAAAGGCTATTCACAAATAAATTCTAATGTATCACTATTGTCACAAGAGAAATAAAACTGTTTTAATAGTAGGCATTCAAGTATAAAGAAGAGGTTTTTCGACTTAGCAGATACATACAAAATGCATTTGGAACTACATGATAGAAATTACTCAGATCATAGGTTCTGAGTATGTTTCTTTGGTACCAAAAGGCAGGTTGCAACTAAAACCTTTGGCATAATAGAAATCCAAGAATATAGAAAAGCTGTATAGTCTATTACTATATATTTGGTAAAGGAAATGATGAAACTCTAGTTATTGTAAGTAATAGAAAAAAGACTATGTCTGACCATGGAAATGTATACTCAATTTTACTCCACAGAAATAAAGATTAATCTGCCCAATATACACATTTATAAATTAATAAACTCATTTATCTGAATAAAGCTCAAATAACTAGATTTTGTTTTGCAGTGAAGAAGACTTAAACCTGTTTATGAAGATTGTTCTTTAAATACTCCAAAATATAAATTATTAGAGGAAAACCTCAGTTGCATTTCAAGTAACATCTATATATAATTCTTGAAAGTTAGTTAACTATTTTCCTTTTTTAAAAAAGTATTTTATTTATTTATTTGTCAGAGAGAGAGCACAAGCAGGGGGAGCGGCAGGCAGAGGGAGAAGCAGGCTCCCCGCTGAGCAGGGAGCCCGATGTGGGGCTTGATCCCAGGACCCTGGGATCACGACCTGAGCCGAAGGCAGACACTTAACCTACTGAGCCAACCAGGCGTCCCTCTATTTTCCTTTTTAACTTGATTTAGATCAGCCAAATAGTCACTTAATTTTTTCTTTGTCTTCAAACAAATGATATATATTCTGGTAAGGAGGACTTGCCACCTTTGACTAAGGGTCAACAGTTAAAGAGACTCCAAAAAACAATATCTGATCCTAGATTCCAGTAATATTTTGAAGTCATTCATGTCCATAGACATGATAACTTAAATTAGTGTCAGTTAACCTTAAAGAATATCTGGGTAAATGTATTATTCTTTACACATAAATAACAGCTATTTGATTTATGCTCTGGTGTTATGAAAAAATTCATTTTAAAAGCTAATAACTTGGATATTACATACATCTGTAAGAGCAAAGATTTAAAATAAAATAAATTACTTATTTTGACATTCCTCTTAATTACATTAAGTCTGCGTGATCCATTGTTATATATGTCATTTTACAAATGCGTCAGAAAAATACAGTGAAAATAAACACTGTGGTATTATGTGCTATTTGGATACCTTATTGACAAGGACTATAACTTTTCCAGGTTCAGATGCTTTTTTCTTCTTGTCCAAGTGATCCTTGGCAATGTAAACAGCCACTCTGGTTTTCCCACTCCCTGTAGGGAGGCATATAATGATATTTTTCCCCTCCAAGGCTGGTTGGGCGACTTCCATTTGGTAAGGCCTGAGATGCAGTTCTGGCTCAGAAGATGCTCTTTCTGCCACATTCTCTTCATCTGAAGGAAATTAAAAGGTAGAAAAATAAGGGAACGGGCAATAAAATAACTAAGGCTAGCAAGTCTAAAACCCAGCATAGGCTTCTTGTGATTTAAACTCCTTTTCATGTGTCCAAACCAATCCATTTTTCTATTTTCTGTACCATATGGGTGTCAGCTCTCTGTTGGCATCTCCAGGGTCGACCCAGGCACCCCATTCTGGCAGTAGCCTGGGGGCAGAGGTGCAGAGGGAGTGAATTAACAGGATGAAGGACAGGAGGGGAGGCAACATGGGAGAGTCTTTTCACAGAGTGGGCAAAGCCAGGGGAAATTGCAAGAAGGGCTGCTGTATAGGATTGGCAGGAATGATTCTTAGTGCATCAGGCTTTCCAGTTCTTTGTTGAGCCCTTCTGCCCTACTTGTTTCTCTATAGTCTTGCCACCTACGAATCAAGAGGAACTGGGAAAAAATGAGTCATCGTTCTGTATCACCACTCCCCTTTACTTTTTATTGCGAAGAAGTTATTATAGCTAATGGTACTTTCCCTCATTTGAAAAACTTTATCTGACAACCAAATACCCAAAAAGCCTGGCTATCTATCTATCTATCTATCTATCTATCTATCTATCTATCTATCTATCTATCTACCTATCTCAAATATCTAAAATGGCAAAACAAAACAAAACAAAATCCTATTTTTGCCATGTGAGATAGGGAGATTAAACAGAAGCCATATTTAGGGAGAAGGGGAAAAACTTCTCCCATGTAAGCCTTTAACTGATATGTTTTCATTAAAAGATGAAAAACGATTCTGTTGATTTAAACTGACTTGTGACTAATTTTGGCATTTAGTTTTAAATTGCGATCTTTATCACTTCCTTATATGTATTCTCCACGTATTCATATTTTCCTGAAACTCAAAGTGTGATATATTAAAAATATTTCCAATTAACATAGATTTCTAAAGTTAAAATTCTCATAAAGTACTAACATGTATTAATTTTTTGAACATTAGAATAAAATTGTTATAACATACCTTGGTTTAAACATACTTTGTTTAAAAGTGATCATATTTATCTTTATTGGCCAGGGGAAAAAGATCTAAAAATGTATAATCTATCATGTGGAATGCAGTAAAATAAATATTATATCAGTTTAAAAGCCCATATTTTGCTTTATGTAATCATAAGAAAAAATGAAATGACAGCACTTAGTACTTCATTACACATGAAGTGTCCCTTCTCTTATCAATGATTGCAATAAAACTAAACTAACAAAATCCCATTAACTTCACAAAAGCTGCTGATGGGTCCATTTCAGCAACTGGATGATTCTATTTAAATGGGTTTTAGCTTGTTGTGACCGCTATCTGCACAGGTAGGAAAATTCACACCAAACATCACTTAGTAAGAGTCATCTACTAACCTGGCAGGAAATTTGCCTTCTGTATGGATGAGTAAACAAAGAAGCAATACATTTAAGTTATCTTTGGATCATCTGCTGATTCATTTAATATGATTTTCAGGAAAAACCCATTTCAGATCACCAGCATTTAAAGAAATACATTTACAAGTTGGCTCTCCATGCTTGCTTTGAACTCTACAGCAATCATAATCATTCATCGTCTACTATATTTATGTAAGGTTCAAATTTATTTAAGAATATCTTTACTTCTCTGCTAAGTGGCTTTTATAGATTATCAAAATCCTAATATTCTACCTATATTCCCGGCATTGATTACCTAACTTTTCCCAAAGAGCAAGAATATTTGCAAAGGAAGATGTACTTTAAATTGTGTTTAATACCAAGATCCAGGAATTTACTTTTGCTAAATTGATATTTAGTTTAGGAAATTCCTTAAAAAAGATTAGCAAATTCCCTTTAATTTCACTCTCGGTATATTTTTGCATGGATTTAAAAAAAATAATAAAATTCTGCTTCCCTCGCAATAGTTGCAGGTACCCCTTTAAATAATTAGTTTCCTTTTTTGTTTTTCATGCTTACTACTATATCCTTGGGTAGCACAAAATAAAAAGGGAAACTTAGAGCAATTTTCTGTCTCTTCCCCAAGTAATCAAAGACGAAGTCAAATGAGCAAAACATCGATACCACTTATGCATCTTTGATATTTATTGTACTAATACATGTAAGATGAGTTAAGATGTTAAAAGGGCATTCATGTTCAAAATTTGATTCTGGAGCCAAACTCATGTTGTTTCTCTGCTACTTAACTCATCATGTACCACTAGTTCATTCTGCAGCAAATATTTACGGGGTACCTATTACATGCCATGCAGTCCCACGAATATAGTCCTTGTGTCCAAGGACTTTAGAGTCTAAAGTACTATAATGCTGCCACTGAAAATGTCTGGCTATTAGATAGATAGCTCAATTCGCATCTGCACTTTTGAGTCAAGTCCGGGAAACTTAATAGGTAGCCCCAAGTTTAAAAGGGAAGCACAGAGTGAACATAGAAAAAAAAATGAGAGTTGGATTCATTGTGAGAACAGCATCCAAAGAAGAGCTGGGTGAGTGCTAAATATTCAGCCTGATTCTTGCCTTATCACATCCTCTGACATAGGGATGGAAGAATTTATCCACATAAGCAATGAGAAGAGAATTTTCTCTTCTCTGTCACCAGAAGGAGAGAACTGAGCTGGTGTCAATGAGCTAGGAGCCAATTTCCTTTATAAAAGAAATGTTTGGGTTTTTGTTTGTTTGTTTTTTTGTTTCTCTTTGGCTTGCTTTGAAAAAGCAAAATCAATTAAATACAATAATGAATGTGGTATTTAAAATATGCACAAGCTTTGAATAACATTGTGCCCTTCCTCTACAACAAATATTGATTGAAGACCTGGAAATTATACTATACCATATAAGTGGTCAAAAAATAAAATCAAATAGGACTTAAATAATAACATTTTATTGGAACTACACCATGTGGCACATTTCATTCTCACATTGATTTTGACAGCTGAGTTATTCTTGGAGAGAAAAGGTCTGTCACTGCATGTGTTTGAAATCGACAAAGTATTCCTTTACCTATAGTATGTAACTACGGAAAAATACGCCATTCCAGTTGGACAAATATTAATAGGTACTACCTCGAAATAGTAAGGAAACACTTTCTACATATAAGGCCAATGTGTATTGCCAAAAATATTGCCACTTTGTGAGGTGCAGTATATCTCTCTAAAAATGAGAGACAGAAAAACAAAAAAGCCTTCCATAGCATAATGAGAATATTTAAACTTTAAGAGCATCATTAATATGTTTTACTATGATGTAACACTGCCACAGAGGAACATAATGTTATGGTAGTGGGTCACATCCATGATCCTTATGTCCCACTATGTAATTGTTGAAGGTGGACAAAGGACATATGGGATAGAGTTCCTTTGATGTCAACTTCAAAAGTTAAAATATTATCCCAAACATTGTAATGCTTTTCAGAAATTCAACATATGTTTACCAGTTTGCAATTTATCTAATCCCTTTTTTTTTTGCATTGATTTCTACTTCAGTCTATATCATGCACCTGAGGGAAAAGAATTTCATAATTTTATAAATGCAGAATTTTACTACCCACTATCCAAAGTAATTCTTTGTTTCTAAGCACTGACCCCATCTAGAACATCAATGGGTGTCCTCGGAAAATGTGTTTGTCTTCAAATGTATTTGCCTTTGAAAATGTATTTGCTTTTTAAAAGTAGGTTGTGTTCAGATTTATCACGTCTTTCATGCCACATTGAGGACTGAAAATCAGCAAATAGTTACATTTGCTAACAGCGCTAAATAGACAAAATCCCCAGCACATAGAGGATACCCATTTAATATTTATTGAATGAATGAATATTGTTGAAAAGCCCTTACTTAGACAAACAAAAATTAAGATGAAGTCCAGAAGCTTAAAACAACCATAAAGACTTTAAATATTAGCTAGAGCATATTTTGAGTTCTAACATCAATAAAATTTAATAGAAATGTTAATTATTAAATGTAACAACTGTATAACAAGTATGGAAAAATCAAATACAACCCACAGAAATAAGCACAGGGCAATAACTTAATAAACACTGAGTGCAGTAAACAGAAAATGAATTAACCCTTTAAAATCCTGGAAAGCTTTTAAGGCAGATGACCACTTTTATGTAAACGATTCTGTCCCTTAAGGACTCCTCTAGTTAAATTTCTGTAATTCGTCTGACAATGCAGGGGAATCTGAAGTACACAATATTCTCCAAGTGTTTTCTACAACTCAATCAGAGAACAAATGAATAATAAAGTAATTTGTGTTTCTTAATTTGCCAGTTTCCTACTGATTCTTAGCTGGCCACATTGTAAAGCATTTTTTGTTTGTTTATAATTTGTTAATTCTAATTATGAAATAGTTCAAATGCACAGACAAATACGGAAAGGTGTATAAAAGATACCCGAGGATCTATCACCTCTTCTTAGAAAATGTTAACATTTTAGTTCAGTAGTAATCATTGGAATTGCACATTCAAACAACAGGAAGAAGCAATAGGAAATCGACCAGACTGACAGAATTTAGGCACTCTGATAACAGGAAGTATTGCTGGAGTGTGGGACTGGGAAGAGGCACTCTCATTTATTGTTGGTGTGATATCCAACTAATAGAGTAATTTGGGAAACACTTAATAAAGTCCTCATTTAATGACAAAATATTTTTTGGAAACTCTACTTCTATGCAAGAGCTATTTAGACAAATTGAAACTCTTTTAACTACATGTATAATTTTTAGTTTTTCATTTTAAAAGGACTCCTGTTAATTGGGTGATGGGCATTAAGGAGGGCATGTGATGTAATGAGCACTGGGTGTTCTATGCAACTGATGAATCACTAAACTCTACCTCTGAAACTAATAATACGTTCTATGTTAATTAATTGAATTTAAATAAAATAAAATTTAAAAAATAAAAAATAAAAGGACTCTTGTTATCTGCAGTTAATCTAGAGTCACAATCTTCTTATTGACAGTATTAATTTTTTTCATTTAAAACGTATTTTGATTAAAAAAAAAAAGTAGGGTACGGGAACACATATACCAAACCGCATTCATGACTTAAATGCAGTCCACTTAACTGAAACAGAGGGCATAAAGAAAACGGATGACCCGACTCTATGGAATGTGGCATGTGCACATTCTTATCTACACCAAAAAAGATAAGGACTGGACCAAAAATGAGAGAGCTTGAGTCTAAGACTTTTATAAGTTGTACTTTTAAAGAAAGTGAATGGCAAAGTTCCAAAACGACTTCAACTGTAGAAAAGAATTGCTTTAATTGCATAAATCCATCAGGGAGGGTACGAACAGCCCCCATGCTTTCCACTATATGGCGTCTTATTTCACAGTTTTTAAGGTTTACACAACAGTTAGGCAGTACCTGAATCACTTCCCATGGTGCCTGAATCACTGCCCATGTTGCTGTTATGTCCAAGACTTTCATCTAAGCAGCTGACACTTCCTTCTGCCAAACTTGTGTCTGATTCTGCAAAGGAAAACATTTTAAAATATTTTTAAAATATTTCTGAGAATAAACGTATTTTAACTGCACACCTCTACAGCACACAGTACATACAGTTCAATGCAAGTGGAAAAGGCGCACCCAGACGATTATGAAGAAAAGGTAAGAGTTTCTGGCAAGCAACATTTAAAAACCCCACTATGGATGAGCAGCTGCTGGGTAGTGAATCAAACGCATATACCTACTTTAATGCACGTCCGATATGAGAGTAAATACAAACTTGTAAACATTTATCACTTTTGTTGTCCCCCCACATGGAAATTTTGCCCAAGAAAAGAAAATCTAGGCTTGATAATGGCATTGAAACACAAAGTATTATATAGTAACCACTGAGTTATTTTAACATAATCTGGTAGGGAATTAATAAAGTATAAAAAATTAATAAAGTACATGGTTCTGTTAATCGGTTATGAAAATAACAGTTCAGTGATAAACATAACTTTAAAAATCTCAAAAAGAATTTGCTCAAAAAGAATTTCATTAAAGCCTAGCATTGTAGTTGTAGTGGAAGCTTATGTGAGGTTGGAAATAAATGTTTTCCTTTGCTACAATTAAACTAAGCTTCCATCAAAAAGTTACAGTTAGGATGAACGGCAAGAGAATTCTCTTAATTTGTTAATCCCGATGTCTGGTTTTCAGTACTCAGTATCAGTTCCTTTTGAAAATCTCTCTCTTTTTTTTTTCTCCTCTAGGGAAGACTTCCCTCTTTACAGTATATTGCCAAGGACTTATGCAATCTTATCCACAAGGATCAGAATTATTGCTAAACTGGTAAAAGTAAATAAAAGATGGCAACAAACGTCGGCTCTGGAATCAGGACTTAAGAAATTTGCTATTGAGGTTGCTCTGAGCCTGGCTCGCCATTAGTTAAAGTGGGGCTGTTACAATTCGCCTCCTAGAATTTGATAACCATTAAGTAATCTTAGGTACAATCAGGTCTTAGCACTGTAGCTCAATTGCTGATGACTGGAAAATGAAATAAAAATCAAGGAGTTGGCGTATCATTAGGGCACGAGTTCCATTAAATAATGTTCTTCTTACAATTAATAACATTTCATAATATTTATACTTGTTACATAATTATCACTTCATGCTACAGCTCCTAAATGCACTAAATAAATTGCATTAAAGTAGCCTTTAGCTACTTAAAACTAGTCTGAGTGTCACACATTCAGGGCTAGAAATAGAAATGGTTGAAAAACGCACAAAGTATATTTTCAATAAAACTTCTCTGGAGAGAGACAGCGTACAACTCCTCAAAACTACAAGTATCTTCTTTTTCCTTAACCAGTTATTTATTTATTTTTTTTAGTTGGTGCACTGAGGTATAATTTATCCTTTATGTATCTTTATAATCACTATTTTTAGGTTGTTCTTTTAGGTAGGTTTAGTTTGATGAGTCTGACAAATGTATACAGTTTGGCAACCACCATCACAAGCATGATTTTTCTATCACTTCAGAAGTCCCCTCAGGCTCCTTTGCTGTCATTTCTCTCCTGCTGCCCCCTAGTAGTCCCTGATTTAGTTTCTGTCCCTACAGTTTGGCCTTCTCCAGAACATCTCATAAACGGATTCACACAGTATGTAACCTCTGTTTGACTTCTTCAACTTAGCATAACACATTTGAGATGCATCCACATTGTTTATATCAGTAATTTGTTCCTTTTTATTGCTGACTAGTACTCCCTGAGCATCGGAGACATCTGTGACATCTCCCTTCCGACTTGATTAAACCTAGTCAGCGGGAAATATAATGGCATTACAGCCAGCGCCAATCAAATATGTAAGACATCTTTCTTAAAAGTTAAAAGAAAGCTGATAAGAGATTTGTAGAAAAATTCTCAATGGACATACATACTGTTTAAGTATATTAGCACAACATAAATATACTAATGTGAAAATACTGTGCCTACCAGTTGTCGTAGATTAGCTCTCAAACTCAGATTTGAGGAATCCCTTATGATCACAAGGGAAAACCTGTATATCTCACTGAGAGATTTTAAATATGGCACTTTGCAATTCCCAGAGGTATGCCTTGTTAGAAGCTTAGAGGCGAGTGTGGGATAGAACTGTCAAGCAGAAGAGTGTTTTGGGCAGATGTACTGATGAAAAGAGAATATGATTTATAAGGAAAAGGCAAGGTGTAAAATGAGATGGGGAAAATGTCATTGCAAGGATAATTCTAGATCTAGAAATATAGACTAAGATTTCTGAGGCAAAAAAGTAAATTTTGACATGCTTTTCATTTGCTGTTTTAAATATGGTATGAGAACTAAAGGTAATACCAAAAATACTAAAAAATACTAACAAGTATTATCTAAAATCTAACCCTGTATCTTTACATTTCCCACTAAGTGTAATACAAATGGAAATTACACTTGATTTTCATTTCATTTTCTATTCGCTAGCAGTTAAACAACAATCTTAAAATACTTTGTATATATGTAAAGTCAAGGTTTTCCCCAAGCTTTGCTTTAACATATGTAAGTTTGGGGGAGTTGTTTAGTGCAATGTGCATGATTAATTTATAAATATTAAAGAAAGTTGCTACCAAAAATTGGGTATTATTAAGTGTATTACATGGATTATTTTGATCTTACAAACAAATTTGCAATGTGTCAGGAAGACACTGAGCTCGGTGCCTTCACGATGTAAATTACACTTTAAACCTCAACATCCTATGTGGTAGATATCCATTATCACCTTAGTTTTACAGATGACACAGTGAGGCCCAGAGAAGTTAAATGATCTATCCTGATCACACAGCTAGAATGGAGCCGAGCGAGAAGTCCCCATTTTCTGAATCCAAGCCTGGTATTCCAGTGTTTTTTTGATGATTTGTGCGAAGCTTTATAAACAAGCAAACAATCCTATAGCCAAGTGTTAAGTGAAGTGAAAGTTGGTTATTGTTGTTGTTATTTTAAAGCATATGGACATTTTCATTGTAATGTCAAATTTTCTATCAATCTTGAAACAGTTTATCTTCCCAAGGGGGGTGGGAAGTAGAGAGATTGTCTTATTTTGCTAACATTTCTGATTTCATCAATAGACTTTCATTTACTTTGTATTTAAATATCCACACAAATTTTGAAATTTACTTTTCTGCACGCAAATAAAAGGAGGAACACTCCCATCCTTGTTAAACAAAATTAATTGGAATAATTTTGCTAGAGATAATTATAAAAATGAAAGTGAATATATAGAGGTCTATTTCTTTGTCATTTTGAGGATATATAAAATCTCCACTTTCTCAACACAAAAATAATTTTGTTTCCTAGGCAGCGAATTCTTATGCATTTGATATAATTTTTTTATTTCATAGAAAGAGAAATACTAAAGGAAATAACTTTAATAATAAAAGAAAATATATTGAATCTCCCATAACATTAAGAATGTCTTCCCCAGAGATTTTCTTCCTGCATTCACTTAAAGAAGTCATGTTTTAAAAATCACACAAACACACATACACATAAAGTCAGATCAAGTGATTATGTGATGCCAAAATTAAACCAGGCTATTGAGTTTATAAGCCAAGAATTCCTGCCACTGATTTATACAGGATTATTTTGTTTTATTCTGTGCACTTTTCACAGTATGTCAATCTGGACTTATGTCCTGATGAAGAAAGTCATGTCTATGATGTTAAAATAGATCAGATAAAATAGAGTAGTCACTTGGAGGCAGGGTGTTACCATGAAAAGAACACTGTGCTAGGAGTCAAGCAGATCGGCCTCCAGATCTGAGCTCAGCCACTGCTAACGAGTGACTTAACCTTTTTTTTCTTAAATTTTTTTTTAATATAGGTAGCAGTTTCTACTTTCTCATTTATCTTGAGAATGATTCCGTTAGATAAAGGAAATGAATCATGAAGAGAAACAAATCTTAAATTCTCATGAAGTTGCTACTTAAATGGTCTTTGAATATTGGAGTTATATTATATAATAAGTTTAGTTAACTTTTATATAGGTGTCATTTCCTCTAGGGAAAATATCAAAGCTGGCTACAAAACAGATTAGAAAATGCTGGTAATTTCTAACTGTTAAAAAAAAAAAAGCAGTTATTTATATCAAACTCTTTTGGAATGAAAGAAAACGATACTCATCCAATTAAAAGATAGGATTTTCTGTAATAATTTTGTAAACAGCACAAAAAAAGAACAGCTCTGTGTACAATGATAGTGTCTAAGACCAGTCCATAAACCACGGAAAAAAATGCCTCATTTTGCAATCACAACTTGGAATATTTTACTAATAAGGCAGAAATATTAACTGGAATCTGAGAAATTTCACATTTAACATCTTCTAGACTTTAAATACTTTAGAATATTTTTAAACCATTTAGAAACCAAAAATATTGAAGTTAAAAAAATTCAAATGAAAAAAACCTCTTGGTTGAAGGCCTTTTTAGATCTATTTCAATGTAAAGTATGCCCTCTGCTGGAAAATGCTATTTTAACAATTAGTTGGTAAGTACATCGTTTACTCAACCTAAGAGCTAGGCTTCCTTAGGTAAAATACAAATTGGTTCTTACTTCTATCCCTGCCAGGTAATGTCCCCCCTATTTTCAACCTAGATGTATTTCCCACTCCACAGAATATTTCTCTTTTTTCACCCCTTGCCTCAGGCTGTCATACATTCTCTTTGCTGAAAAGTGGTTTTGCTTTAAAACAGGAAGCAGTGCAAGGGGCCAGGGCTTCTATGCACATTGAGAAAAAAGAAGGGCACCTGCAGATCTCATTCACATGAGAGGTAGTGCTTACAAGGTCTGCAAATAGTCTAATTTCACTTGTCACCGTACTTTCATGTTTATTCTAGTTCTGACCTTGTGATGCATTTTAGCTTCACCTATTTAGCTATTACCCCTTGCCTGGCTTCGTAATCCCCGCAGTCTGGAATGCGGAAGACTACCCTAAAGAACCGAACACAGGTACACTTATGGGCACTCCCACAAAGATCGCATGGGC